GGAAAGAGCTAGTAAGGGGGCTGGTTTCACCAGGAATGCGCGTTTCTAAACTGAAGCTTGCAAACCACTCACTGAATATTTCACAGATAGTGGCAGGCACATTGTAGATAACTTTGTCGTGAAGTAAATAGGGGATGACCCCCGTCGACTGCATTCGTTTTTTAAGAAGTGTTGTTAAGTTATAAACTTTGGAGGCGCTAAGTGCCTTTAATTCTTCCTCGAGGTCCTTTTGAGAACGTTGGCGCTTGATAGATTCAAGAGACTCATAGATTGAGTGCAGTAGTGATATATCCTTAGTGGAATGGTACTGTTTCTTCAGCTTCCTTAATTTATTGCGGTATGCCCTCGGAATGTATTCAGCTTGGTGTCTACTTAATTTCACTACCTTCTTAGGAGCAACAGTACCTAGACAAAGGATAACATTCCTGTAAAATAGGGACACTACAGCCCCCAGGGAGTCAGTGGTAAAGTATTCATCCCAGTGACAGAGTCGAATGAGTTCTTGGACTAATCCCCAGTATGTATGTTTGTAAATACGATATATCAAGCTCCTTGAATCCTGTTTGTTTCCTGTATTTAGTGGTGAGAAAGGCAGAGAGCAGAGTACCATTCTATGGTCACTACTGGAAAATCTGTTACCAACATAGGTGGAGACTGGGATTGTGTCATGACAAAACACAAGGTCCAACATGTTGTCACCACGAGTAGGTTTCTGGACGTGTTGCTGCCATCCATAACAATCGATAGTGGCAAGTAATTCGTCGAAGCGTTGGGGGCCGGAACTACTCAACCAATTGACTTCTGGAAGGTTGAAGTCCCCTGCAATTATTCTGTACTAAACGAGGAGGCGTATGCAAACGATCTAGCTAATAACGCATCAGTTCTTTTGGTTGAGCTTGGTGCTCGATAAACACAGCCTATGAGAAACTTGTACTTATCTCCTTGTAAGACGACCCAGAGTGAATAAGGTACCCCGTTCAGTATTTCATCTTCCACCTTACTGGCTACGAATGAGTTATGTATATATATGAGACATCCTCCACCACGCTTACAGTCTCTATTTGCACGGTGTACAGTGTAATCATCTATGCCTGTATGCACATCAAGTACAGAGTACGAGCACCATGATTCTGTAATCAGAGCTACAGTAGGCTTGGCAACAAATAATAATGCCCTTAGTTCAGATATCTTATTGATTAAGGAACGTGCATTAATTAGCAATATCGTGAATAAGTCACGGGATGCTACAAACTGGCTTAAGATATCACCATAACCTAATTCTGTTTGTGCGTCAGCAGCGCAAGAGTTTATGAATGATAGGGGGTCGGACTGGGTGTCTGTTCATCGGGGTTAGAGTGCAGTGAGGTGGTCCTAGGTGCCATGGGTTGTACCAGTGATTCGGGACACTTGGAAAATTTACCATGTATTCCTGGATATAAGGATAGTAGAGGTTGTGCCTGGGTTGACGGTTAAAAAGCACAGAATCAAATGGTCTACCCATCCACGAGCTATTCGTCATACCGGTACACATATTCGTGTTGATTTTATAACTTAAAGGAAATTGAGATGGAAGGCGCTTTGGTTGCAAGACTTTGGGGGTTTCGAGGCCTGACTTTCTATATAGTGGTGCATGCTGAAAACCTCCGGATATACTTGTGTTTCGGGAGGACTTTTTCGTAACAGGTGAAGGTTTGTTGACAGTCTTACTCTCAGCAAGCTTATTGAATACAAAGTATTCTTCCCCATCATTAGTCTCAACTCGGCGAAATTTGTTCATTGAGGTGAGATTACCACGTTCGGGTAAGAATTTCTTAGTAGAGCTTGCAGCAGTTCCACTTATTTTAACATCTTTCGGGGAGAAGTTGTTTCCAGAGGTACTGGTATCTAAATCAGTTACTAGTTCCATTGGCAAGCGTGAATGTTGTGTTTTTCTGAATGCTAATGTTAGCATTAGGTGACTGTTGCTATGCACGATCCTTTTCTGGTAAATCTAAGCTAGAGGAGGTGACCAGGTTATTACTACGGTGTTTTCTCCTGAGCAATGGCTATAGACTTATAACTGCTATTCAGTCTTAGGTGATCCTGACATTTAGTAAACTTACTAGAATCAAGGGAATTACTGAATGTAAAAATGATGGGACAATTAGTCTGGTTAGACTTTTTACGAAGTCCTTTGCATTCACATGGAACGCTAGCCATGCCGCCACAAATCAGGATTTTGTGTTTTACAGTCTTCAGAGGCATAGAACCTGGGACGTTGTAAAATAGAGCCTGGTGAGAAGAGGTTACGTTTCATGAAAATATTATTATACTTTACCTTTCTCTCACAGCTCTTTTTACTGTCTTTATTATGCATTTCTCCTACTTTCTTCTCTTGCTTTGTGTGCTACATGGAATGTGGCGACTTGAACTGCCGCACATATGTGCAAAGGTCTATGTCGGAAACAGGCAGACAAATAGACTGTTCACTTGACAATGAGCAAAGAAACAATTTTTATTTATTTCTAATATGTCGTTGAACCATGTGATGCTATTCTTAATAATAATAATAATAATTTGCTTTATTCCAGAAACAGTACTAGTGGTACAGTGTGGAATTTTCAGCACATGTCTACAATATTTGCATCTAATTTTATCAAACATTTAAAAGGAGTATTTCAAAAAAATAAATATAGAGACAACAACGAAAAACACAAAAATAATTTTAAAAAATGCGAAGAAATACCAAGAAGTAGAAAGGAAAATAAATAACATAATATAATATCTCAGTATTGGGTAGTGGAAGCTATGATATGATTGTGCATGGTGACAGCAAAGCTATAGTCATACAAGAATTTATGAAATGATACTTAAGAATGTTTATTGCCAAGATGATCAGTTAATTTGATTGAACAACACTAAACAATCATAAAATAACGTTTCGGGGCATTTTATTGTCAGGTCTAATGCGGTGTTTGTGGTGGTAGTGTGAGTAATCCTGCATAATACAAATTTTAAGATGATGATAATGGCGTTCACAACCAAGGTTGTCAGATAATATTGCCGAACAAACAAAAAAACAGCAACCACAAAACTGATAACTACATGATGTTTAATGACAGGACAATTTTGTAAGACTCATAGTGCTATATATAGTCGGAACCAGTAGATACACAAAAGAAGGAATAAAGTACAATAAAGTAAGCCAATGTTAATAATTTAGGTAGCTAAGTATGTTTAAGAAGGTGTTCACTATAGAATACAAAAATAAGAGAGAAATAAAAGAGCCTAAAATTATGTTATCAACAACAAAGCAAGTCATAGGTTTCGCGCTTAACATTGTCTCTGTCACTTAGAACACGGGCCAAATATGGTATCGTTGAGTTCCTGTACTTGGTTGTATGAGCATATATTATTTTATACTGATTTCTGGTTCTACCTGATGAGATACAAGGCGAGAGTTGGGAATAGAGGGGGTGTTGCGGGTCGGAGACTATGGTTTTAGACCATTTCTCGCATGTATTCAGATGCCTTTCTACTAATGTAGTGACGAGCTGACTGAGTTTTACACCACTAGTCCTACTAACTACCTTCAACATCCTTCTCAGGATGGCATAAACCTTTTTCAGTAGCCCAGGAAAGACTAACGGGGAGCAGTAAAGTAGAATAGGTAAAATACGAGAGTTGACAAATTGTGAAAGTAGAGGTTGGGTGATTCCAGATTGTCTAAGTTTCTCAATGTTGTAGGTTAGACAGAACACTTTCTTAGAAATCGTTCGGAAGTGAGATGTCCAATTAAGGTCGGAAGACAGAACTAGACCGAGGTATTTTGCATTAGACTTAGTTTCAATTTTAGTCCCCTCAATGCAACCGGCTTCATGAGTACTTACTAGTGTTTGTAGATCTCGTTTATGCCTAAAGGAGAAGTCAATAGTCTGGCATTTTAAGAGGGATTCAGCATGAGGCCATTTAGTTTAGACCACTGACTGATGTCCGACAGGAAGCTATTTAATTTGAAACATTCTGACTGAAACTTAACGGGTAGCGAAACAGTAAGGTCATCTGCATATTTGACGAAGTTGATTTCGTCTGAAAGAGGTAAGTCATGTAAGAAGAAGGAAAAGAGAAACGGAGAGAGAACAGCACCCTGAGGAACTCCAGCTTCAGTAAGCAAAGGAGAGGAAGATACATCATTATATACCGTGTACTGCATCCTATTAGAGAAGTAAGAGTGTAGCCAGTTGATAACCCAGGGTTCAGTTTGTGTAATGCTAAGCTTGTTTAACAAAAGGCCTCTAGGTACAGAGTCGAAAGCAGATGTATAATCCAGGAACGTACAATATTCAATACCCATCATTTTTATGATCAACAACTGCAGTATCAATATCAGTAAGCTTATTGAATACAAAGTATTCTTCCCCATCATTAGTCTCAACTTGGCGAAATTTGTTCATTGTGGTGAGGTTACCAAGTTTGGGTAAGAATTTCTTAGTAGAGCTTGCAGCAGTTCTATCTACTCTATGGATATTAAATAACTTACGCCCTTATGCATCTAATTACTTCCAGTATTACAACAGTATTCCTTATTCATTTGATGTGTGTACACTAAACAAGTCTTTCATGCATTCTCCCACAAATGCCAAGGTTTCTAATGTCACAAGTGTTAATAAGATTTGCTTCCCTGTTTTCAATACAAATGACGTTCTAAAATATCTCCAGTCGCTGAACCGTTCTTGTAGCCTAGGTCCAGATGGTGCGCCTGGCCTTATTCTTAAAAAGCGTGCAGATATCTTGTGTTATCCTCTGATGGACATATTTAGTGAATCTTTTTCCAGAAATGTCGTGCCAGCCGTTTGGAAGGACATTAAAACTGTACTTATTCCTAAGTCATCTACTGGAACGTGTATAATAGTAAGTATTACAAATGTTTCGAGAGAGCGAGAAACCAGCTTCTAGAAAAAGAAGACAGCAAAATCAAACAATAACAAATATTTGAAAGGACATTGGACATGAAATCCGATATTAAATCAAACTGACCAATCTGAAGCAAAGCTCACCGTAGGTTATCGCTCAGGCGGGACTATAAAATTGTGGTCTGCCTGATACGAAGGTGTGATTCCAAAGTTCGTATTTTCGATTAATACATAACGTTTATCTAGGTTTATTTATTTTTACCTTATTAATAAATAACATGTCTTCGAGAAACGTGTACCAACCCCATAGTTACAACGATGTATCAACACTGTAGTGTTAAATGTAAACTAATGTTTGTATGTAAATGTGAAAATCCCTCTACTTTCTTCGTTATGATAAACACGCGTGTTAGTAGTAAACAAAACAGCTGAATATAACCGAATGGTTGATAATAACAGGCTTTGATAACTTTAATTTTTGGCTGAAACAATAGCATGCACACTTCGTTTACTCTGATAATCCTTTGTTTCTGGGGTAAGAAAATTCCATCATATGACTTTTCCTGGTGCCCCCTCATACTTTAACAGTTTATCTACCTGTCCTTGTTGATCCAATCTTCCATGTTGTTTCTCTAATCTCTACGTAACTATTTAGCAAGTTCTCTAGAGAACTGCTGATTTCTTTCCTGCTTCTGAATGATAATTCGAATTCCTTTTATACATGTTTTTCAATAGATGGTTACTGTTTTTGTTTTATGCCTCAGAAATTCAGTGACTACTCGAAGGTATTTGACATGCACCGCGGAACCGTATTCTTGGACTGAGGAGCAAACGTAGTAGTAGTTCTAACTTGTCCAGAATCAGACTAAAATAATAGTATGCATTTGGATGGTCTTATTTTACCATGATAAGACTGAAAATCTGAACCAACTTAACTACGTGTTGAGTAATCCTCGTGCCTTGTCGCAGTATACATCAGCATACTAACTTCATGTGAAACGTGACTGCTTCAAGCGTCAAGGTAGTTGTATAAAGCCTTCGTACTTTCTCAGTGACTAGGCTACTTAAATAGAACAATAGGCTTCAATTGGCCATAAATCTTAGTAATTAGTGATAAGTTACTTAGTGTTTCGGTGGTTTTATGAGATTAGATAAATGTGTGCAAAATATGTGAAATATCCTATAGTGACTTTAAGAAACACTTAAAGTCATCGCCGTTGTTTATTTTGTTTTCCACTGTATTAAAAACACATTGAGAAATTCCTGTTGTTTGTGTTGGAGCCATTAGTAACGTAGATTTATCATCGGCACAATTGCTGAGGTTTTTAACTATTTTCTCGATATAGGTTCATATTATTCTCGTTAAGGTCTTAATTTTAATGAGTTTTGCTGTGTATTTTGATTATCTTATGCTTTCAGACGATTTCAGTTTCTTAGTCCTCTCCCGTTCTGCGTAATGTGTGATCGTGAATCCAGACTGAAGGCTATTGAGTCAGCTATTGGTACCTTTCCGGATTTCCCAGTAAAGGGTATTCAGTTTCGGTAGAAAACATTTGCTGAATAATTCTTGGATTTTTAGAGATATTTTCGGTGTATTCCGAAACCCTGTCTTAACGCAGTATTTGCTGGATGAAACATACAATATTGCTACATGTAACATACAATGCGGAAAGGTATGTCGTACTTATTAACCTTCTTTACAATATATTAGAAAATAGATGCTGTTGTAGGCCTTGAATCACGTGGTTTTCTTCTTGGACCAACTCTGGCTCTTCGATTGAATTGTTCCTTCGTCCCTGCTCGAAAAGCAGGAAAACTTCCAGGTCCTTGTTACTCTCATACATACGAGTTAGAATATGGAACTGTAAGTCTCTGTTGCAGTAGATGTAGTATTTCGTCTTATTTTTAAATTGCTTATAGTTATATACAATTGCGGTTTAGACCAGTAGAGAGTTGATTAACTGAATCATCTAAGTGTAACCATTGGATCACGAGTTCCAACTCCTCTTACATATTATGTGCACCGGAAGTGTTTAAGAATTTGGTACTATCCTATAACCTGTAGGTTGAGAATTGGTCAAATATCTTAAATTATCTAGTAGGAATATTTCTTCGCGATCGCAAACTCCAAAGACATCTGCATTAAACCATATATATATATATATATATGTATATATATATATATATATGGTGTGTTAAGTCTCGATGAATCTGGAATTGATGTCAGTACCTATATAACAAAATAGGTGGTGACGGAAAGCTTGACAGCTGAGTGAATTGCATAAATTTTCTAACTTATAATTAGTCCATATACCTTTATTTCAGAAACTTAGCGTAATGGTGATAAACTCTTCTAGTACTAATATCGAAGCATTATTGAAATATCGGCTTATTAATCTTTCATGGAGTTTCTGTTCAGTAATTCCTGCAATCACTTGATGTGAAGCAATACTCCACATAGCAATTCTTTTAGTTTAGTGGTCAGTATAAAAGTCCTGTTAATATACGATTTATTAACACTACAGACTAGGGTAATTATCTTTCGTCACTTTCTATTGACCAGTTATCATACTGTGCAAGTAGCTTATCACCGAAAGTGCTTTTTTCAAAGTATAAATGTGAATTCTCTTTTAACAGCTCATCACATGATACCAACAGTGGTTAGTCACCAGATTTGAATGTGTATTATATTCAGCTCGTCTGCAAACAAGACTTTTAAGACAGATAACTTCAAGCATGCTTACTTTCAGAGCCTATGACTACACGTCACTTAACAGATCACTTGAACTGAATTCAATTCACAAAGTGTAATGCTGATAATTGAGTTTAGGTGTTCTGAGTCATTCAAATCGCTCAGGCATCTTCATCAATGTTGTACGCAAGTCTAAACTTATTAGAATCTATAACAGAATCACATATAAGTAAGTATATGATGGGTTAGAAGCACACTTAATCTACAGAAGTTAATGAATTTGACTACACATCAAATAGGAGATGTAGCTTTTTTTTCGCAAGCGCATATCGAGTGTACGGTCCTACCTTCAATCATGAAACACTAACGAACTTTTTCTGTCTGAACTACTTTAAGTGGAATGATATTATTGTCTGAAACCTAACCTGTTCAGTATTCTTGATAATTCTCGTTTGTTAACTAGTCTTCTAATTGTTACACTTGACACGTATTTGTCTTTTTCTATTTTTCGGTGTAATAGGATACTCTGGAAATTCAGAGAGATTCTGTAAAACCTGGGGATAATGTACTGCTGTTCGATGACCTAATAGCTACTGGAGGAACCTTAGAAGCGTGTGTCAAATTAATTAGACTGGCAGGCGCAACTGTCTTGTCCAGTTTGACGTTTATGGAACTGAAAGATTTGCCTGGACGTAAAAGGTTGGAAGATCTTGGAGTGAGTGTACACTCAATCTTCCAAATTTAACGGAAACATTTTCTCCAAATTGTTTATAGAACAAAAATTCCTATTCTTGCTCTCAACTATCCTTTAGCACAGGAATGTTTTATACTCACAGTATAATGTGTTGAATGCCTTATTATTACTTAGCTAAATGATTCGTTCTTCTATTATTTTGCTACTTATTTTTTAATGAAACCTGATGATATGATGAGAATTGTCTTTCTTTAACTTTACGTATTTACTGTTAATAGACTGTTTTCGTCTTCCTTTCTTCTATAACTGTGTATGTGTGTTTCGTTTTACTTAATAATATGTGACCGACATACATTTATTTGTCTTTAATTAAATTAGTTTGATTATTGTCGGGTAAGAAAGAAGACGATTATTAAGAATACATTTCACATAACAGTCGGAATCAGTTAGAAACAAATTAAAGTTCACACTATTCACGAGACATTCTTCATAAGTTAATACCAAATTTTCGAATATAATCACCACTTCGCCTCATAGATTTAAATAATTAAGCTAAAGCTCTAATCTATTTAGACTTTTGAGAATCTTAAAATATGGAGTTACCAAATTGCTGCATGATTTGTTGACAATGTACTGTTGAACACAGTATTTGAGGGTACTCATTTATAAACCATGTAACTCTTCACAATTGTGGGAATCAACTTACTTTACTGAGCTGTGCAGTAGAAGGTGTTAGGCTGAATTATAATTTTAATAACAAACATACAACGTGAATTTAGCACTTAAGTTATAAAAAAGGAGTTCTTAAGGCATTCAAAACCTGCAGCTATATTAATCGTGAGGCATGATAAGACATAAATTATAGTAATGCTATTTTGTAAGCAATGTGGAATGGGATATATACAGATAACCTTTGCATGTGGTTTCACATTTTTACGAGTGAGCTGCAAAAAGTTCAGTATCAGTCAACACCTATTTGTACTGCTGATTTCCCGTCCAAGCATCTCAACCGGATTTCGACACATGGATTTCTTCAGACAGACACCTTAGCACTGTCATTATTTCCTACTTGAAGCATGTATCACTAAGAAATAACGCGAAACACTTCAAATGACGTACTTTCAATCTGTTTTCCAAATGTATCATTCAAAGTTTAGTGTGAGTAAGCGTTACTTTTCTTTTCGTATAAAACATGCCCTCACTATAACATATTTGTTTGTATGCCTAATAGTGTGCTTAGAATAGCCAATTATGACAGTAATTTTCACCCGGTATCTGCCTATATTATCAAGACGTTTGAATTCGCAACGTAAACTGCTTTTAAAGAGTCAAATTATTCATCGTGCGTTTATGTTCTTCGGTAGGTTACTAAGTGGTGCTCTTTAGACTACACTACCTTCTTCTCAATCACTATTGATCATTCCGTTGGATCACTATAGGAAATACAAATTCAATCTCACCTACTGCTAAGAATTCATTCTGCTGCCTAGTGACGTATTGAGTTATCCTTGAGTATAGACTTATTACATGTTAAGTAGTTTGTATTTAAATAATTTAGATGATAATCTTGTATTTAGACGACGATTTATTGACTAGAATACGATTCCGTCCTGGAAACCAGGGAGCTCTGGAGAGCTGTTATACCGTAGTTCAAGACACTTTTGAAGTGATAACCTGTGGCACTACCATCTCACCAGACCCGGTGGACACCACCGGTCACGACTTCTGATTAGAATCCTACCATTTTTATCTCAGTTTTAGTCACTGTTACACCTTCAGCTCTTTTTCTATTGACACAAGGTTTTGATGTTCCCATTTCACGAAGTTGACGGAGTTTGTGATTGACAGGTCATTGTTTCTCGATCCTGTGACTCAGTTTTAACAAGCTCACCTTTTAAAGTCATAGTTAGTATGTTTGGTGGGGTCGTGGTTTTTCACTGCTTAAGAATCCCTAATTGAGTCAAAGCAGCTGTCTAGTACTCCCTGGTTTTCATTGATTACTTTACTGGTTCCTAACGTAATCCATCTCAAAAGCAATCAACTTCACACTAATTCATTATTTAAAAAAGACATTTTTCATGATGTAGATATTGATGAACATTTGTTCGGTGTTTTGGTATCAGTCCAGTTCTAGCGTTTGTGTGTTCTACAATTTTCTGTGAGCATTCATTACAAAGTCAATATAAACCACGGCAATCCTTAGGTTAACTAGTATCACTTCAGTCTTATTCATTAGACAAGTGGGTAGTTGCATCACTGTATTGAAACTAATCTTAACAACGATAAGAAGAATGAACAAATACATGGTGCGTAGCTGTTCTATAGATGAAACTTTATTGAACACAAAAAGGTGAAGGACGTGGGATTTTAAGTGACAAGTGCTGGGTGTAGTCTGCGTAGTGTTAGGATAATCGCAGAAGAACTCAGTCGGGTGCGATAGATGCAGGTAGAGTTGACAGCTGTAGAATGATTGTTAACAGAAACTCTGGACAGATGACTAAAGTCAGCTTGTATACAATCTGGTTCATAACATCACTGAAACCAGAAATACACATGCTTCAAATTACCTAGTTATGGATACATTATAGAAATTTCGTTTACGTGTGATGTCTTCAGTAGTTTGATGGATTTGAAAACGACCGTCTTCTCTTTGTTTCTTCAACGTGTCAACTGATAGTGTATAGTGTTTTTCGTAGGGAACTTATTTCATTCTGCTTACTAAGGAGTTTAAAGATGATAGTTCCCATAAACAATAATCTATTGCACCTAATCATCATGATTATTATTCGTCCCTTTCTTTCGGTAAATAGCTTGGCACCTCAGCAGAGCATCTCTATTTTATTCCATTCTCTGTTTATTTGTTTGTTTTAACTGGCCCCACGACGGTTCACTACCTTTCGTTGCGTCTTCACATGATGTCCTCCACGTTATACTGGGACGCCCAACCCATTACTTTCCATCTGACTTCAACTGTAGTACCTGGCTTATTATGTCACTGAACGGTCTCCACAGTGTATGTCCACTTCCTCCTGTAAATTTCTTGACTAGAAAATAGTTTCAAAACAATTAGTCCTTTCTATAATTTTGGATAATGTTATTAAAAGAAGGAGGTTATCTGAAAAATGTAATGTATTCGCGCAATATATTTTGAGTAGTCTGATCACACATTTACATGTCAAGTGATTTTATAAAGAACTAAAGGCCAATCAAAATACACAAAGTAACAAAAGGATTTCAGCATAATAACAGTAATTCACACTACATTTGGTTATCTAACCAGATAAGGGTTAACAAGTTAGGTTAAGAGCAATAACAAATTGTTGTTGACCACACAGAGGGAGGACACAAAAATATAGGGAGGAATATCCTGTCTTTGCATGTAAGGGCGGGGGAGCATATTCTGGAGTGGTTAGAGAAACAGATGAACTTCGGAAAATCGATAGACGCAGGTGGCAGACTACCAACTTCGTATATAGATAGTCATCTAATCCATGTGAACCACAAGATTGATATCGAAACGAGTGTGAAAGTTATTTTTATAAACGGTCAAGGGTGCTTAGGCGTTGGCTATTCGTAAAATTAAACCCCCTCCTCCCTGTGTGCACAACAACAATTTGTTATTGCTCTCAACCTAACTTGGTAACCCTTATCTGGTTAGATAACCAAATGTAGTGTGAATTACTGTTATTATTCTTAAATCCTTTTGTTACTTTGTGTATTTTGATTGGCCTTTAGTTTTCCTGGAAGTTAGGTGCTTGTTTATTTCCCCTCATATCATTTTCCCGTTCCTCATCATTTTTTGTCGGTCTTCTGATGTCCAATATGGAAACAGGAAAGGCTAATATTAATGAAAGTCTACAGCCTGTTCAAAGTGCTTTCAACGACGTGCAGCACAATTTTCCGAAACACTTTGAAGCACTGACATGACAGTGGTGTTTAAAGTTAGGGTCATTTTTCTTTGAGCTCAGTACTGCTGATCTTCACATTGATTTAAGTAATTAACGTCGTTCAGTTCTTCGACGTGGCGTCTTCATCCGTGCCACTGGTATTTGAGACGAAGCTTCTCAAGTAAGTGAAAGGGGCGAATTTCTTTAGATTCCCTGTATTGATGGTGTCTGTTGTTGTTGGTAGGACATTTTCATCAGTGCTGTCTTCTTTGTGTGCACTTGCAATCCTGTCTTCGCTGCCACATTTTCTAACTTGTCGGTCTCTGCTTGTAAATCTTCGACTTTGTGAGAAATAAAATGAAAGTCATCAGCGAAGTTCATCGATCCAATGTGCTAATCTTCTCTTCTTTTACTTGCATCACCACACTGGTAATTGGGTTTACCCCACCATCTCTCACTGGCTTCATCTGCGTAGATCCCTTCCTAAGAAGCAATTAGTTTATATGAAATAGTGTTGTTAGGTTTCTCTAATACGTAGCGGGTTTTGCTTTAGTTTCCGGTAAGCCATAAAAATCCTTTCCTAGCATTCATTCATCATTTGTTCACTGAATTGTATAGTGAACTCAGCTTCTCTTTCCATTATTCTTTTCTCCACTGGTTCACTTTCCGCATCAACATCCTCCCCAAGCTTGCCAACTTACGATTATCGGTACTACACTATATCATTACTTGTTCTGATTCTTCTGATAGGTTCATTGTCCTTCACCCCTTCTCCTGTGATCTTTGAAGTACGGAAAGTTTTCAGTTAGACCTTAATTACATGACGCACCAAAAGACTTATTGAACCTCAACGACAGCCTCCGATCCTGTTGCTCAAATCCTTAAAATCACACACTCAGTGAAGTAACTTAAATAGTCAGCGTATATGAGGTACAGTATTAACTATCCGGTTGAAAATTCATAGAGTCCACTTCCTTTAGATCTGCTTTCACAGATTCCTCGTACTTGCATACCATATCGTCAGGCTTCTACAAAATGAACGGAGTGGTCTGCCTAAAACATAGTGGGGATATTCCAAATACCCATGCTTAATTCCGCTTGCATCGGAAGGGAAAACAACAGTCGACTGGCCCTCTGAAAGCTTTCACACATTGGCTTCTTCCTCCTATCCCGAATCCAATGATAAATAGGTTAATTTTTATATATTCTTTCTGTGCATTGAAGTTTCTCTAGCGACCAGGTTGCTTTATACAAGGTTATGTCGCTTGTAACACGCCTACCATAATATCGTTCAAAGCTTCGGACTGTTCAGTAGATTATGCAAAGTTAATCGCACCTATTATTGTACTGTAACTTTCCAAATACTCTACTGGCAGCTAAGGTGAAACCATTCAAAATGCACTGAATGCCCAACTATGAAGCGAAGAAGGAGAGAATTTTTATCTGTAATTCAGAAAAATTTATTATAAAATCAATCAATCACTTCCCCAAAAAATAGTTTTATTGAAGTATTCAAAGTACAGCATCTCACTTTATCACA